TTCATATTCTGCAAAGGTTAGACAGCCACTCAACTATTATCATCTTTATATTATTTACATCTCACCTTAACCCCAGTTTGAGACTTACAACAATTAAAATAATAATAATAATAATAATAATAATAATGATAATGATAATAATTTATATCCCACTCCTTTGAGATCAATCGGGGCGGCTAACAAGAATAAAATATACATTTTTCATATATAGTGAAAAATTCATATTCTGCAAAGGTTAGACAGCCACTCAGCTATTATTATTATTATTATTATTATTATTATTATTATTATTATTATTATTATTTCCTGCATGGTAGGGCCTTGAGCTAAATGGTCTTTGGGGTCTCTTCCATCCTAATTATCATCATTATATTTATTTATATTTCACCTTTCCTCCAGTTTAAGACTTACAACAATTAAACATATAGTGAAAAATTCACATTCTGCAAACGTTCAAAAGCCATTCGAAAACGAAAACCAGTGAAAATCATCAATCGTGAAAAAGCCAGAACAACTATTTTTATTTATAAAAGCACAACAAATAAAAGTCCAGAACAGACCTTTATATTTTTTTTAACCTATGGGAACTTCACAATGACTGGGAATAATTCACTGCAATAAATATATGTTCATCAAGGATTTTAAATGCCATTGCTGGAATCCTGACATTTTCAAGAAGTCATGATTGAAACCTGAAATTTAAATTAATTTATGGGTTGAGTAACAACGACGGCTGGGTGTTATTTAAACTCATTACTGTCTGGTGGAGATTTCTGGGAAACAGGTCTGGCCTCTTTTAATATCTGTAATTAATTTTTAAACATTCAAAACGAAGACTTTTACTGACACTCAATGGAACAAATCTTATCACTAAAACCATTGACGTGAATAAATTAATTTGTTTTAAAGGTTTAACTTTCTCAACACACTTGTACAAATATTTCTTTGAAAATACATTTATTTGATTTTAAAGAGAAAGAAATGCATTGTCCGGTGACTATAATTCAGGATGGTTATGTTCTTTTCTTTGCAGTTAATTATCATTTCCAATTGGGGAATTCCTTCAAGAGGAAGGATGTTAAGATATATATATATGATATATATATATATATATATAT